TGAGTTCTTAAACGGGGAATTAGAAGAGAAAGTATACGTGGAACAACCACCTGGGTTCGTTAATGAGAGGTATCCAAATCACTACTACATCTTGGATAAGGCAGTCTATGGTCTGAAGCAAGCTCCGAGAGCCTGGTATGAAACTCTCACTCGTTTTCTTAAAATGTCTAAATTTAAACAAGGTTTGGTTGACCCAACCTTCTTTGGTAAGAAAGAGGGTGACCACTTAATGATCATCCAAATCTATGTTGATGACATCATCTTCAGTTCTACGAATCCTAGCTTAACAGCTGAATTCCGAAAGTTGATGGAAACTAAATTTGAGATGAGTTCCATAGGTCCAATTAACGTTTTCCTTGGATTGAATATAAGACAGGGACCAGAAGGCATTTTCATAAATCAGGAAGCATACACGAAGACCTTACTGGCTAAGTTTGGTATGGTGGGAGACTCCAAAACGAAGGTTCCAATGGCATTCAGAACAAAACTGACACCAACTCTAGAAAAACGAGCTGCTGATATGACCCTTTATCGTAGGATCATTAATGTATCTAGCAGCTAGTAGACCAGATATTATGTTTTCCGTTTGTTATTGGGCTAGGTTCCAAGCAAATCCACACGAACCTCATATGGTGGCTATCAAGAATATCTTCAGATACTTGAAATGAACTTCATCCCTTGGCATATGGTACCTTGCGAAATCTGGCTTCTTCGTTAAAGCGTTTTCAAATGTTGATCTTGGAGGATGTGGATTAGATAGAAAAAGCACAACTGGAGGATGTCAATTTCTCGATTGCAAACTTGTCAGTTGGCAGTCCAAGAAACAAACGTGTGTCTCCTTGTCAACAGCTAAAGCTGAATATATAGCTGCTGCTTCATGTACATCTCAAGTCATCTGGATTCAAAGTCAGCTTTGTGACTATGGCTTAAGCATGAAACGAATCCCACTTTATTGTGACTATGAAAGTGCTATTCTCATTTTTCACAACCCAGTGCAACACTCAAAGACGAAACACATAGCACTGAGGTATCATTTTATCAAGGATCATGTAGAAGACGGTAACGTTGAAATTCACTTCGTGAGATCCGCTGAGAAGTTGGCTGATATATTTACCAAGGCCTTATCTGAAACAACCTTCAACAGAATTCTTCAAGGCCTAGGAATGATGGAAGCTGAGTCTGTACCAAAACCACCTTCACTTTAATAAAGTTGTTGACGCGAATCGATGCGAACGCTCGCAGAGGCTCGTTGTCCACTGTTCATTTGTGGTTCGGTTTAACTAATATCCTTTTTGTACTTTATGTATAATGTTTCAAAAACTTCAAAAATCTTTTGTTTGAAAAATCCAAAAATATTTGTTATCCTTTCGTTTCTATTCTTGCTACGCAAATTGGCACGAGCGATCACTTTAATTCGTTTCCGATTTTTCCGGGACCCGAATTGGCACGAACGTTCGTCTTAATTCGCATCAAATACTTTTTTCTCGCTTTCATTTTATTTTTGTCACGCGAATTGGCACGAATGCTCGCCCTAACTCGTTTCCCATTTTTTCGGGACACGAATTGGCACGAACGTTCGCCCTAATTCGCATCATCAAATTTATTTATTTATTTTTTTGTTTTGTTTGATATTCATTTACTTTCCTTTGTACAATATTCTATTTTATTCAAAATTCAAAAACATTTTGTTCTGTTTTTATTTCTTTTTCAGAAAATCTCAAAATACAAAAATATTTTATTGGTGTTTATTTTTATTTCTTTTATTTTCACAATTTTCAAAAACACCAAAAATATCTTTAGAAGATCATGGAGGAACAGACTCGTGTGAAAGGGCAGGTATAACTTTCTTTATATATGTATTAGCAAAGTGTCCCTAGAATCATGCTGCTGTATGTTGTCCAAAGCCTCGATTGACTCGATGTGAAGCCTTAATGAATCGAATCTACCATTCGTTTCTTCCGAATCAGGCTATTAAATTTACATTAGTCATGAGATACCTTACTCTTCTCGCTTTGAATTAAGATTTATCTGCTTAGTCACTTTCGTTTAGCAGAGGTACATTCACTTCTCTGGAACCCTCTTCACATTTCTCCATTGCCTTCATACTCATCAATGTAACCCTTGAGACTCTCAGCTATACCACCGAGGTTTATGGTTGCACAACATCTGTGTTAATGATCTTAGTTTTGTTCACTACAAACTGAGTGAAACCCCAAATCCAACACACTTACATGAATTGACGGTGAACAATTAAATGTTCTAGATTTTCACCATGGAATTATCGAAATCCACCTTTGTGGTATGTGTCAAGGAATCTCTTTTTCTTTTGCGAGATCTTTGTGAAGTGTTCTGGTTCCAAGATACTTCTTCCCATAAGATCCAGTTTTTTTTTGAGATTTCAAAAACTTAATCGTGTCACTAAAATAATTCCTCACATACTCGTTCAACTGACTACACTGGTCACACGAGTACTTCATCCAACATTGGTTCTTATGTTAAGTTCGTTGTTTGGTTGAAGAGTTAGCCACCCATTAAGCCTATTTAAAAGATGCCTTTCAATGTTTATTGTCAAGCATTTGATCGTATTTTCAACAGGAAACCACACAGACACTTCTTAGTCTCTCTTGATTTTGAAGGAAGAGATCGTTGCCCGGGATCTATAGTTTCGTGTCTTTTAAGACATCACTAAAATCCCACAGATAAATCTTTCTTTATTTCTTTCTCTTTGGCACACTCTCGCACGAAGATCTCTTTGATTTTCCTAAAGTCTTGCTTGTGGTACTTATGGCATTTTCAGTTTCGCAGATTCAAAGATACTCAATGATATACACACAAGTTACCATGTGTCTTAAATGCGAACAACTGTATGGATATTTATTGCAACAAATGCAGTTTGAAAGGATGAGAACAAGATAATGATGAAGCGGCTATTGGTGGATAAAAGTTTGAAATTTAGGCGCATGGAATTTGAAACGCTTCCACTTATCACGCCGCCTGACACCTTTTTAGAGGCTACAATTGTTAAATCCTGCTTTTTCAGGCGTCGTTTCAAAGGAAATCACTCAATCGGCGGTTTAAATTCTCTCTCCTGCATAATCGTATAAAAGTGTTTTTAATTCACCGAAATACCTTTACCAATATCAAATTCTCTCAAGAACCCTAACGGCGATTTCTCGCTACTGCTCTTTCTTCTTCATCAACCTGCAATAATGGCTGTTTCTTCATCTGTTCAAGATCAGACCGCTCACTCATCACTGCTTTCCATCAAACAAAATCAAAACCTGATTCTTGATTTGACACCATTCAAGTATGATTCTTTCATGCTACCCATCGTTGAATACCTGAAGTATTCCCCTCTGGTCATTGCCTTAACTAAGGTTGAGTGCGTCCCAATGTCTTTACTGTCGAAGGCTTATTCCTCAGCATCGTACATAAAGGAAGAAGAACGCATCACCTTCGAGATCTCTAAAAAGAAAACCTCTATCTCCATGTCTAGGTTCTGTTCTCTTCTAGGGCTTGCCTACGATGACTCTATGGTGAATCCAGACTCGATCTCTACTGCAGCTATTTTCGAGATGTCCTATGAGATAGGGTATAAAGATCTCATTCCGTCAATCTCCAAGTTCAGAAAACCAAACATGCCTCCTCAATGGAATGGTTTGTTCACTCTTCTCTTCAAAGCATTTTCTGAAAGAGTCACAGGTTCAGATTGTGCAAGTAAGCTATTCATGACTATGATGTATGGTCTTTACCACGGAATCAACCTTGATTATGGCACAGTTCTATGGGCACAACTGGTGCAAAGTACTCACTCCACAACACGACACAGTGAGATTTCTGTTCTCGTTTTTGGACCATTGTTGTTGAAAGGGAAATTGAATAACACAAAGTACCCATCATGAAAGATTCCTTGATGTCCCCAATTGCTGCTTTTCACACCACCAAGATAATTATCACTGACATCTCGAAGTTTCCCTTTGCTGGTTCCATTCCGGACACCATGTTTTGTTGTGTTCCAACTGCCAGCAAGATTTTAGAAGAATACAAAAAGCTTCCATCTTCAGGAGCTCGCACCATTACTCATGAGATGCGCTTGACCATTAATGAAGCTGACAAAGTCAAAAAAAAAGGGGGGGGGGTGTAAGAAAAAGCAAGTGAAAGAGGGTCCATCTTAGCCTGCTGTCACTCCAAAGAAGCGAAAGGCAAAAACTGCTCCTTCTGCATCCAATCCCAAAAGGAGAAAGCAGCCTGCTCGCAAGCGCAAGACTCTAACACCAAGTGCAAGAGAAGGTTCGAAGTCTGACACTCCATCAGACATTCGCAACGAGGAGGATGATACCGTTCACAACAAAGAGGAAAGCGTTCATAATACAGAGGAGACATCCAATCCAACGGTAACTCAACCTTTCACTGACTCTGTTCCTTCTCCTCATCCTTCACCTAAGACCACCTCTATCCCAATTACCATTGCCCCATGCCCCCCACCAGTTTCTTCACAACAACAAACACGCATTCCTCTCTCCATCCCACTGTTCACTGATTCAACAATACCTCCTACTACCTCAACCATACCTTTCGTTTCAGTCAATGTATCTGATACGGGGGCTCAAACTTCAGGTTTCTCCACTCATATTTCACCTCTTGTTTCCCTTATTAGCCGTGATGAACCAGACATGGTCTTTGGTGATGATGAAGACAAAGATCTGGGGGTTTTTACCTACATTCCCTTCCAAATCTGGACTGAAAGTGAAGATGAGGTGCAAGTTACGAAAGGGCAACTTCAGTCCCTTCATGAAAAGATCGATAAATTAATTCTCTCTGCCAAGGATTCCTCTTCTGATGCTTATGCTAAAGCCACAGTAGATTCACTCTTTGAAGGAATTTCGAAGGAGCATACAGCCAATGCTGACAAGATGAACAAGGCTGTCGATGATTCTGCTGAGGTTTGCAAGTCCACAACTGAAAAAGTCGAAAAGCTAATTGAAGAAACTACTGCTTTCATGGAGAACTTCCAAACCACTTTCAACTCCAACACCGCATCAGCAAATGAAGCATTGAAGAGTGTGGGCTCTCTTTTCAAAACTGAGAAGACCAAACTGCAAGAGATTTGCACTGGTCTGAAAACTGTCCATGAATCATTTCAAGCCACTATCTCCTCTCAGATTTCACAGCTTAAAGACGAACTGATAAAGGAGATTAACCTGAAGGACTCTCTCGCACTCAAGTCAGAAGAAACAAAGGTGTTAAGTACCAAACTGGAAGCTTCGGAGAAGCAGGTCAATGATCTTTTATCTGAGAGGACAGTCATGCGAAGTTGTATAACTGATGTTACTTGCATGCTCTCGGATATCATTGAGACCAGGGACTCCATGATCACCATCACAATGCGTAAGCATCTGGCAGAAAAGTTAAGGCCAGTCTTCGCAATGCTTCACCGCCTTGAAGGTGTTTCTGATCAATCCTTTCATCCGAAACAAGGGGGAGAAGGTGTCGTTGGTGGATCACGAAAAGAAGAACCCAGAGCTTCTGTCAAGCCCGTTGTCAAGAAAGAACCCAAGGGCAAGGAAAAATTGTTCAGTGACGACCCAATTCTTGATAATGAAGAAGAAGAAGTGCCTGATGAAGAAGAACTTAAAAGGCGAAAAGTTCGTGAGGCTGAACTGGATGAGCACCATCGAATCATCCGTGAGGCTGAAGAAAAGGAAAGGGCTGAGAAAGAAGCACATGCTACTCTTCAGAGCAAAAAGCTCTTGTTCCCCAAATGGACCTTGAAGCGAATCCAACGTGATGCTGTTGATCTTCCAAACCAGTATTGGTTAGAGCCAGTAGTTTTGTTTGATCTTCAGGACACACGAGACTCGCAACTGGATCTGCTAATTACTCCAAAAGCCTTCAGGTTCCGTTCTTTTGTTAAAGTGGCGAACGCTCCATTCACAGACAACGGGGACGATCATATGTTATTCTCGTTTTATCTGAAGCATATGAAGCCACAATACGAAACCTGGTCATTGAGCAAAATTACTGCTGTGAAAGTTACAGGGCCGATCGAAACTGATAGCTTTCCGAACGAAAAGTTCAAAGTGGCAAGAGGTTTAGCCAACCAATGCTATGAGTTTACTCTCGCAGATTTACCATGCCTTAACCCCTATGACTGGTTCGTTATTTACAACATGTTGATGAAGGACAAAGAAAAATATGAACCTGTCATGTCTCATCTCAAGCAAATGATCAAGTCATATGTTCAGGAGATTGGGGAGATGGATGTTGAGGTTGCTGCTGTGCTGTGAAAGAAGCCTTCTGCTGTTCGCAAGGAAACTCCTAAGGATTTTGAAAAGATGAAGTCGGGGAAGATTTACAGTGGAGATTGGTTCGTGGTTTATTGTGCTAGGGAACGAACTGGAGTAGACTTTCGCAAATGATGATTCTTTCTTTTTGACAAGCATCTGTATACCACATCCTTCCTTGAGTACATTTTGGAACAGGTGGGCAAGTTCAAAGGCAATAGCAAGGACGACCTCAAGTGCTTCTCAGATATGGTTCTATGGTATATTGAGATTCGCCAGGAAATATATGCTATCATTCCGAAGGTGTATGAAGTGCAGAAGCGAATCCAAAGCTAATGGTTTCGTGCCTCAATTGATTCAAAGGGAGAGATTGTTGGGTATTAGATGTTGCGTCCTTGGGCCTTTTACATAGTCTTTTGTATTATCGAGTTGGGCCTGTCCACTCGTTATTAATTCTAGGGATAGAGTATTTAAGATGCATGCATGCATCGTATTTTAGTTAACTCTTATCTTTTACTTTCTAACCCTAATCATGCCTCTACAGTAGCAATTCTTCATAGAGTTCTTCTGAGGCATGACGCTTAATCATACGACTTTCTTGAATCGTTATTGTGTTCATTGTTTATCTGTTCTTGAATCTAATAGATCATTAAGGATTTTAATGATAACAACCTAGCACTGGTTCATCGATGGGACCCTCTAACGAGATTTTAGCTTCTGGCCATTTGAAGTCATATTTGGCCAAATATTTTTCTTTTCCGAACAGATGGGCCAGTTCGTAGTCACACCGGCAGAATTCAACAATGTAGTCCTTGAGGAAGCTTGTGCTAAGCTCCCATACTGAGATCATCAGACTGAATGCTTTGGAAGTGAGTAGCAATAGTCAAGATGTCATTCAGATTGATAGCAGGGAAGTTAGCATCAGTAATGTTTTTCTGAGTTAGTTAGTTAGTTACTGAAGATGTGATACCGGAACAACACGCAGTGGAGTTCAAACTTGGTCAAGATCTTCCTTCCGAATCCGAAAATTTTAGTGATCCTTTTCCGATACTAGACTTCTTTGAGAGGAAGTGCATTCTTGGAATAGAAGGTCTTCAATATTTCGCGTTTAGTCCGAATGATCATTTGAGGATCATCTTCTGGATGAATAGGAGCAAATTTGGTGTAGGTCTTGCTGAAAGGAGAGAGAGGCAAGTCGATCTGGTCTGAATCTTGATTCAGAAGATCATAGTACATGAAGGGAACTATGTCAATGTCCTTCAAGATTCCATACCTATAGAGAGGAGAGCTCCCTAGCATCGGATGAGGATTATCATCCTTCAAGGATTGGATCCGGATGCTATTTTCAAGGGCTTGATTGATCTCTTCTTGGGACCAGCCACTTCTTTCAGTTAAGTGCGGAGCGGTGTAGGTGTAGTCCGAAACAGGCTTCTTTCCCTTATCTTTTTTCTTTTGGAAAGTGGAGAGAATGTGTTGCATGTTTTCATTGATCACAAACTTTGCAGGAGAGAAGGGCAGGGGCTCTTCCGAAATATCATTTGGCTTCCGGAGAGGAGAGCCTTCATCGATGGGGGAAATTTTTGGAGCTGGAATCGGAGGCAGCACCGAAGTAGTAGCTCAGAAGGCATCAACAGTTAGTTTGCTTTTGGCGTTATCCATTTCTATACTCTTGTGAAGGACATCAGCCACAGTTGATGGCCATGATACTGCTGACCATATTCTTTGTTCTTCCTCCGTAAGCACCTTAGCAGGAAACTTCCTTGGAGCTTGAAAACCTAACACTCCATTCTTTATAAACACACCATCATCTTTGCTATAATCATCATTATTATCATTGTTATCATCATCATCATCACCAGGAGAACCTGAAAGAATTTGTAGTGAGTCATCAGATTCATCTCGGAGTCTAAGCTCCGAGACAGGTTTCCATGGGTGAGATCTTGAACTTGTCCTTCTCCTCCTCTTGCAACGGATGGCCCGACAACCGATGCAAGCATAGTTGACTCCTTAAGATCGGAGAACTTATCAAACACCTTTTGGAAACTGGTGTTGAGCTGGACAGTGAGGGCATCGTAGGCTTCAGCAGTGGGAGCCTGAGCTTTAAGATGATCGAACAATTGGGAGAGAATGGAGAGAATCTCATCAAACTTATTGTTCAGAACATCCATGATGTTCCAACTTGCTCTGCGAAGATTGATTAGGACCTGTTGCATGATGAGATTCATCTCATCCTTCTTCCGGATCTCCTTCTCTAATCGCTGGATCTGCTTCTCATGACGAATATGGGTTTGCTTGATGAGTTCGTTGGAGGTATTTAGCATATCGTCATGGACCTTTAACATCTTGGTGATGGTGTCAAGGTATTGATAGATAGAAGTATCATATTTTTGTTCAACTTCTTCGATGGTATGCTTAAGCCTTAGAGAGATGAGTTGATCAAGCTGACCTTCTCTGTCAGCAGTAGTGGGTCCGGACTTGTTGGTTTCGGACAAGGAGTTAAGGATTGCATCAAGTTTGGAATCCATTTCGGAAACCTTAACATCGAGTCTAGTATTGAGTCCGGCCACAGAAGCTTCTATTACGTGCACTTTCTTCATTGTGTCAGAAAAAGAGTCTAGGATTTCAAGGAGGGCAAACAGATCGATGTAGTTTCCTGTTGAGGATCCGGTGTCCGAAGTGGAAGTCCGGGACTTGTTCTTGTCAGCTTCTTGATTGATTTTCTGTTCAGGGGAGCCAGGAGGAGTGGTATCAGCATCGATGTTCTTGAGAGTGGACTCAGTTTCACCTTCAGGAGTGGCTTGGACGTGATCCTCTGTCACACCCCCAAACTAGAATGGCGGAAACGTTCGGGGCGGATGACTTCATGTGCCGTATCATAACAATTGAATATAAACGAAACATAGCAACCCAAACATTCACACATTAATATTTAGTTTACATTGTTTACAACACTTGTTCTGTTCAAAATTTAAACACGAATAACAAAAGTAGAAAACATAATGCAACGACGCCGGGCCTCGAACGTGGTGAATACCTATCTACTAGATCCCTGAGAATACATGTCATTTTGAAAAGCGTCAACTAAAAAGTTGGTGAGTTCATAAGCATTTTTGTAAGAAATATTTGTGTTCCTAGTAATTTGTAAAACTCCAGAAAATCCACTATTTTCTTATAAAAGTAGTTTGTGAGTCTCGTTTCAAAAACCATGTATAGTCCCATGCATGTTGTTTGTTTTCCTTGTGTTGTGTTAGCAAGAATGTGTTCCCAGAAAATCCTATATTTTATGTTATGTGAAAAGTTGTGGTCTTAAAACCCTAAGATCGAAGTTGTGAAATAAGTTTACAAAATATACGAAACATAGTTCGGAATTTTATAGAACTAGCAGGGTTTATATCCTGTCCTTGCAAAGTAAGAATATATATATCGTTATAGAAAAATGCAGTGAATATCATACAAAAAATAGTTTAAAGTTTCATTTATTTCAATAAAACTAATGAAGTTTAAGCTTCCCGTAAACCAAAAATCGTTTTGTTTATCCCTATGTGAGTCGTTATAACCATACTAATATGACTGATATGTCTGGCTTGCCGTTCTACCGGCGTCAGTTTCATCGAAAGATATTTGTCACCCTAGACTCGCCTAGTCTAACTGTAGCGAACAACTCAGGTGTGGGGTGTCAACCCCGTATAGATCTATACACAAACTCCCGCTCTCCCTCCAGGAG